TTTTTTTTTTTTTTTTTTTTTTTTTTTTTTTTTTTTTTGTGACCGGGAAGGGGATCTTAACCCTTGGCTTGGTGTCGCCTGCACCGCGCACCGGCCATCCCTATATAGGATCTGAACCTGCAGCGGGAGCGCTGCTGCGCTCCCAGTGCCGCACTCTCCTGAGTGCGCCACGGGGTCAGCCCTGGGCTCTGATTTTCATATGTAGGAAAACCACAATAAGAGGTACTTTACTAAATACTGAGTTTGCTGTAATTTGGAGTTTAGCTTATAGACTGTTAGCTTTAATTTTTTGGAAATCTAAAATCCCATGTGTTCAGTTTTCGTAAAGTAATATGTTTGTCATCTACATGAACAGATATAAGCACATATGCGTGGGACATATGTAATCTATAATTTTAAAAATGAACTTTAACACACTTTTTTGTAAATGGAAGTTACTGATTGCAAATACTATTTAAAGCAGCCAGTGTGGTCACTTATTTCAAAGCACGGACTGTAGTACAGGAGATAAGACAACATTTTTGTATTCTGAAATTCAGATTGCTCACTTAACTCTACTGCCTTTGCTCATTGGTTCAAATTGCTCTACACACTGTTAAAAACAAAATTGCTTCTAAATCTTATAATTTTAAAATCCTTAAGTGTTATTGCTAAAAAGTTATCTTTAATACTGTGTATCCAGATTCTTCTCTTTACAAATGAGGATGTCTTTGCTCATTGGTTCAAATTGCTCTACACACTGTTAAAAACAAAATTGCTTCTAAATCTTACAATTTTAAAATCCTTAAGTGTCATTGCTAAAAAGTTATCTTTAATACTGTGTATCCAGATTCTTCTCTTTACAAATGAGGATGTTGAAGCACAGAGCGATTCGGTAACACATCCAAAGCCATGTAGACTTACTCTGTGCGAACGCATGACTGTTAGACACAACATTAACAAAGGTGCCCTTTGCCTAGGTCTGCAAGTCAACTTATCATAAAGTAGCACAAGTCACCAGACCTGATATAAAGACTTGCAAAAGGGAGAGACTCATTGAGCCGTGACATACCCTTTTCTCATCTTCATCAGAGTACTCATAGCCAAAGAACTCTTGGCCCATAAAGACATTTTATGTTGTGTCTAGAAATTCTGTCCTCAACCTAAAACATTATACAGCTGTGACACAAAGAAGGCGAGTGGAAGAGAAAGCCAAGAATAATTATTTGTTTCAGGAACATTGCAGGGAAAACACAGGAAACAATATAACAAGTGTTGGGGTGTGATGAGCTCCACAGATTTCTCCCAGCAATTACTATAATATCCCTCACAGAATGATCCAGAAAACAAAGGATTTAATGTGCCATGCCAAAAAAACAAAAACAAAAAAACCGTCACCAGCACCACCGACAAAACAAACCAAAAAGCCCAATAGAGAGTCCCTTCACTGTCCTAAGGACAGTAGGGGTTAGCCAGTCTTTCTTTTCCCCATTTCTTTAAAATAAAAGTGCCACCATCTAGAGCTTAAAGAACCAGGCCGAGTGATTTCAGAGGAAATAGGGGGGAGGGTAAGAAACTGGCTGAAGGTCCCCAGCCAGGTGGTGGCCAAGCCGAGCCCAGATCTGAGACTGGTGGGTTCCTCCTGAGTCCCTACTCCATTACCTTCCACCAGCCTTGGCAGACACTAGGTCCTCTGTGCTGGGAAGTCCCTCCCGATGGGCAGTCACTGACTGAAGGCTATGGGGTGTCAAAGGACAAAATTATAACAAATTTAAAGATCTCAATTGACTTTATTGTGATTCTAGAATCAGGCAAAACCTCATTCCATAAAATGGAAGAAGGAGCTGAGCAAAAGAGGCTGCTTTTATAGACAGAAAAAGGCTGAAGAAATCAGAAAGAACAAAAAGTAGATCGGTCATTTCAAAGTTACTTTCCCTGTAAAGTGTGGACAGGAAGACAGAACAACGGAAAAGTAACCGACTAGTTAACATCAGGTTACTTCAGGCTATCTCTTCAGTGTAAGGATTAAAGCAGAGGGAATGTCATTGTCATACACACTGAAGATTTAAACTGGCCTGCTTGGGAAGTTGGCTATTATCTCTTTTTCTAGATTTCTCGGAAGGTCAGACCACAACCTAAGTGCCATCGAATTTAGCAGGGGTGAATCCAGTTCGGTTTTTAGTCTGGTCTTTTGCGGCCTCGTGCAGGAATTTAGTCCAAAACAACGGCCTCCTATAATTTTTATTTAACAGGGGCTAATTTCTCTACATAGAAGCAGTGGATTGTTCCAAGGTTTGAAAATTGCTCTTAATGAGGAAATCAGTCTCCTTCCCGCATCCTCAGCGTGGTGATCCCTGGGGCTGATCTGGGATTGAATTAACACCTTTTTTGCTTCCTTTAAGGAGATAGGAAAGGAAGTCATCCTCCCGAAGAATAGAAAGCATTAAAAACCGCAGCTTTTTCTATTCATAAAGACTCAGTGTTCTGAGAGTACTGCCAGTCCCCTCTCCTTTTTGTGCCCTGAGTGTAGGAACCCTTGGATGCTCTTACCTCGTTTCATCAGAGTAAATAAGCCTATGTCTTCCCCTTTGCAGAGAAGGGGGAACTTTTTGTACCTTCTCCGAGCTACTTTGATGTTGTCTACCTGAACCCAGACAGACAGGCTGTGGTTCCTTGTCGAGTGACCGTGCTGTCAGCCAAAGTGACGCTGCACAGGGAGTTCCCAGCTCAGGAGATCCCAGCCAATGGAACGGACATCACCTACGACATGAAGAGAGGCTTCGTGTATCTGCGGCCTCATTCTGACCACCAGGGGGTGGTCTACTGCAAGGCGGAGGCGGGGGGCAAGTCCCAGATCTCTGTCAAGTACCAGCTGCTCTATGTAGAGGGTGAGTCGAGATCTCAGCCACTTCGGGTGGTCAGGGACTGCTCTTCCCTACTTGCCAATGGAAATAAGGAGGCACAGAATCTGTTCTTAAGGGCTCCTCGATGGCACGGCCACTTCTAGAATGTTCTCTGTCCTTGCCCGTGACTCTGACACTTCCACTCCTTTCCTCCAAATCCACCCTAGCTCTGGTACTGCCTCTGTGTTTCCTCAGCCTCCTTTAGAACATCCTCTCAGCCTCTATTTTAAGGAGAATCTGCTCTCCCCTAAGAGCACCGTCCACTGCCACCTCGGGGCAGGTGTCCTTCCTGCGCCCCTTTCCCACTTCCCAACCCTCATTCTCTCCCCTTCTGTTGGGAACCTCTGCTCCTCTGTGGCGTGTGCCCTGTGCTGCAGCAGCTTTCTCATGTCCTTTCCGGTCACTCCCTCGGCTCCGCCCATGGACGATCTTGGCGCTTGGCTCACTGTCCTCCTCGCTGCTCCATTTTGGGGCTGACCTCGAAATCCACCTGGAACCCACGGGCCCGGTTCACTGACCACCTCATCTACTGCACCTCAGACACCGCCTCCCTCAGTCCCACCTTCAACTTGTCAACAGCCACAGCTGCTCTGACATGGGACTCACTGAGCTGGACCCCAGCCCCAACCACAGGCTCATATCCTGTGATGGGGAAAGGGAAATGGCCTTACTGCAGGGCGCAGGGTGGTCAAAGCAGGGTTGTGACAGTCACTGGGTAACCGGGAGTGTTCAGGGCCTGTGTCCTGCTGAGTGAGCATCGTGGCTGAGAACACCAGGCACTGGGAGCCCAGTTCCCATCTGAGAGAGCAGCAGGCTCTGGGGCCACCCAGCGCTCCTCAGGGCTGCACTAGAGCGGACTCTGCCCCAGACAGACCACCAGGACTGGCCAGCGGAAGAGTTCTGGGAGGGAGAGTCATCTTTGCAGGGCTATGGTGCAGGAGGAGAAAGCATTTCCTCTTCTCACTGGCAGGGGGCTGGAGAGGGATGCATTCCTCCAGAAAGTCGAGGGAGGGAGGCCTGAGAGCATCGCTGGCTGTGGAAGGGGCCAGGCGCCATCTGCTGCACTGGCTCTGCTCCCTGGCCCGCCCCTGAGCCACCAACCCAGGGAAGGTGGGGGCTGGGGGGAGGGGAGGCTGCCCGGAGGGAGGGGGCTTGGATTGTGTCCCTGCTGTATCTGCTTGCCACATGCTCCAGAGATGTCAGTGCTGCAGCCTTTCTGAGACCACACTGCAGCTTGGAGCAAAGATGTGCAGAGGAGGCCTTGGCTGAGGGTGAAGAGGGACCCAGGGGGACTGCTGAGGGGTGAGCCCTTCATCGCCCATGACAAGGTGTTGGAGCCATCATCTGTCCCCATTGGGTTCACAGACAACAGGCCAGATCAACATTTACTGCCAGGGGACAGCCTCCTTTGGGCTCCAGGCTCTCTCTCCTCCCCCACGTTGGCACCAGAGCGGGGTGTGGGAAGGGGACAGACTGTCTCCTCCAAGACACCAGCTCCAAGCTGCTGGACCCACCAGCTTGCCAGCCACAGGGAGAACAGGAGCAGGCTTTGTCAAATGTGGAGTGAAATTTTACATGAACAGTGTTGGAAACCAGGATGACGCTGCCTTACTAACCCAAAGAGCCTGTTGGATATGAAATCGGACAGAGATGTCACTAATGGGTCTCACTGCCCTTAGGAAAGTGGGTTCCAATACAGCAGAACTGATGGGCGTTACCAGGGGGGAAAGTATTTCAAGTGTGAATGCACTGAATTGGCCACGTTGAAAAAGTTCCATTTTTAA